TTTGTAACTCTCCAAACGCCACGCGTTATCGCATATTCCGTTGTCTAGACTAGACTGTTATACGCATTCACCCCTCCCCACGCCTCGCTCACAATACGACGGTACACTATTCCTATAAAAATTTATTTTTAGTTATCGTACCCGTACACGCGTGCTTGTCATCAATATTATATATATGTAAACAAATTTTTATTTTGACTGACCAATAACGCCCGCGTCTAATGCGCCTTACGTATATATATATATATTCCTACCGCCGTTTATACCTCGGGTATAACGTTAGTCCGACCCGCCCGGCCATAAAACACAGCTATACTTAGTGCATGATACTTTTACGTAGTTAAGTCGCATTATTTGTATAAATATATATATTCTAATTACTATTAAAATTAATATATTAACACGATTTATTCTAATTAAGAGATATAAAGTATTCATTCCGATTACGAGGGATGATTTCCGTATCGTCATTTTTCGTCACTACCTCCACGTTCCGGGAGTGAGTAATTTACGCGCCTGCTGCTTTCCTTGGATGTGGTAGCCGTTTCTCAGACTCCCTCCCCAGAATCGAACCCTGATTTCCCGTTACCCGTAACAACCATGATATTGATAGTAACTACTATCATAACATGAAACTAAAAAGTAAAAAATAAATATAGTTTAAAAAACTAAAAAAACACGCTTTTAAAGTACATCGAACTAAAAAGTTAAAAATAATTTTTAAAATAATTATGAACAAAAAATACTAGTATTATTGTGATAAAAGCGTCGGGCGCTCAATATACGAAAAATATGGCACAAAGCACCCACGCTTTTATCACAATAATACTAGTATTTTTTGTTCATAATTATTTTAAAAATTATTTTTAACTTTTTAGTTCGATGTACTTTAAAAGCGTGTTTTTTTAGTTTTTTAAACTATATTTATTTTTTACTTTTTAGTTTCATGTTATGATAGTAGTTACTATCAATATCATGGTTGTTACGGGTAACGGGAAATCAGGGTTCGATTCTGGGGAGGGAGTCTGAGAAACGGCTACCACATCCAAGGAAAGCAGCAGGCGCGTAAATTACTCACTCCCGGAACGTGGAGGTAGTGACGAAAAATGACGATACGGAAATCATCCCTCGTAATCGGAATGAATACTTTATATCTCTTAATTAGAATAAATCGTGTTAATATATTAATTTTAATAGTAATTAGAATATATATATTTATACAAATAATGCGACTTAACTACGTAAAAGTATCATGCACTAAGTATAGCTGTGTTTTATGGCCGGGCGGGTCGGACTAACGTTATACCCGAGGTATAAACGGCGGTAGGAATATATATATATATACGTAAGGCGCATTAGACGCGGGCGTTATTGGTCAGTCAAAATAAAAATTTGTTTACATATATATAATATTGATGACAAGCACGCGTGTACGGGTACGATAACTAAAAATAAATTTTTATAGGAATAGTGTACCGTCGTATTGTGAGCGAGGCGTGGGGAGGGGTGAATGCGTATAACAGTCTAGTCTAGACAACGGAATATGCGATAACGCGTGGCGTTTGGAGAGTTACAAACTTACAAACAAACAACAAACAACAAACAACAACAAACATACACGTGAAACTAATAAAAGCGTGTTAAAAACGTATTGAAACAGTAGAACGAACGTGCCATTGAAATGTNAAAAACGTATTGAAACAGTAGAACGAACGTGCCATTGAAATGTCAACGGGTGTTATTTAAACAAAATAGCTGACAAACGAAATTAGACTAATAATGTTTTTTTTTTTAATGATTTTCAAGATAGTAATATAAATATTACAAATTATATCGTACTTTGATAAATTGAATAATTAATTATTTTTATATGTGAAACTAAAAAAAAAAACTCATTTTAATATGTAAAAAAATTTACTACACTAATAAATTTTTCAAAAATTTAAGAGAGTTGTAGTATTTTCACGCGTTGAATGAAATCTACAAAAAAAAAAATCAGACCATGTGTGACTTTAACTAGCTTTAGTGTCCACACAAAATTAATTTGCTCAGTTTAATCATTCCACTGATTGCGACTTACGCTGTTGTTTGGTCATACGTTAAGTATCAGTGTGTATTTGATCAAAAATGGACAGTGAAAATAAAACGTATAAGGTGTATGAAAATCGTCTCAATGAAAATTCAGGTAAGAAATTAAAACTGTATGTTACAGTGCGATACTATCTACGTTCAATTACTTTTCAATTAATTTTTTGTTCAGGATATGATGTTTGTGGATTTTACTGTTCGACATCTTATGACCAGCAGCCTAGAATTAAACTCTCTAAACACAAAGAGTTTGCCGATTATAACACTCGTTTAAAGACTTTTGAAAACTGTCCAAAAAAATTGGAATCAAAAATATCAACACTTTGTGATGCTGGATTTTTATACATAGGTATGGGACTATATATTATTAAATGTATTTTTATGATTCGTACATTTATTCAAATACTTTATTTATAAGTATATATAATTTTTAGGTAATGGACAAAATGATCAAATGTTATGTTACTGTTGCAGTCAAGGTTTGAAAGATTGGGATGAGGAAGACGACCCATGGGTAGAACATATACGTTGGTCTCCTAGCTGTACACATATATTGTTATGTAAGGGTCAGTTATTTATCCAAAATAATAAAATAACGAAATAAGACTACTATTATTTGTTATTTTGATTTTCATATAAATAATAAATCAATGTTAATCTTATATATTATTGTAGTTTGAAAAAAATAAATGAACATTTTTAATATTGTATCTTGTGTGTTATATGAAATTTAATAGCAATTTTCGATTTAGTAAAAAATGTATTATACTACTACATTCATAATTTTCATAATCTAAGAGGGTTATTGTATTTACAAGCGTTCGTATCTACCAAAAAAAAAAATCAGACACGTGTGACTTTATCAGCTTTATTGTGTTCCGAATTATGTATATATACATTTTTTTCCAACTTAAAAGAAAATCAACAAAAATATTGCTTAAGTTGCGTTTTTTTTTTTTTTTTACATCTAAATCATTATATCCAGTAAATATTCTATACATTTTTTAACGCTGAATTACGTTTTACATTGCAACATTGTTTGCAACATTATTGATCCCCACTAGTAAGTTATTGAATTCATAGGGACTTGTATCCCAAACAATTAACTTCATTGTGCTTAAAAATATAAATTTTTACTATATAACTGTAGAAATAACCCATTATCTGTTCATTCACTTTTTGGTGTTTTTACGGTGCTATTCATCATATACTACTACTGTTTTTCACAGCCATTCTTGTGTATTTTCAACAGTCATTTCATTGTAAGTATAATTTTTTTAAATTGTCATAATGTCTTAACCCTTCAATGCATTTATTTATTTTTAAAAATCGATAATACTGATAAATTTCACAAAGTTTTTTCATAAATAAAATTTGTTTACTATAATTCGAAATATTTATATTAAGTATATTATCAATATATTTATAAAATTATAATATTTTAAGTAATACAAATACGAATTTTTAGGTCATTAAATATATTCAAAAACCCGATCCAGTGTCTTTTTAAAGTATATTTCTGTTTTCGTGTATTGAACCAAAGTAAGTTATTATCTAACCACCACTATTCAGTTATAAATGTACTTATAAGTTTACAATAATTTTAATCATTCAAAATAAAATTACCAAAGAGTTAATTTTACACTTTCCACCTCACTGTATGTGTAAATATTGTGATTAACAAATACTTACATGGTCAGTGTAAATTAAGTGTTGTATATATAGTTTTGTAAATATATTTGAATATTATAAATTATTATGTTGAAAAATGTTAAATAAATATGTAAATATGTTGTATTAATGGTATGTGTGTGCACTCGTTTTAACTAACTTAAAAAAAAAATGTATTTATTTCCTTATTAAATAATCTAATGGCAACAATGTAGTAACTATCAGGCGTTTGTCACATTTTTAGCGGGTGAATGTGTTAGTATTTATTATGTTGTAAAGGTTAAAGATTATCGTCTTGTGTAAAACATATATGTGTGTGTGTGTGTGTGTGTGTGATACACTCCGCCACACTCTCAATGATTTCTACAATATATGATGACGAATAGTTTGTAAACAACTGTATTAAAAAAAAAAACAACTCAGTTNAAAAAAAAATAAAAAAAAACTCAGTTTATAAATGGTTACAGGAGTACACATAGCTGTAGGAGTGCATCGACTGTATTGTAGCCTAGTAAATTATCTTAAACAAAAAAACAAATAGAGAGAGGAGAGGGGTAGTATGCTATGAGAGCATACCGATATGTATATCAGATTAATGGTCTCGTGACAAGCGGATGGAGGTGACGAAAAAAAAAAAATTTTAAAGCACTAGCAGCATCAGTTTTCGAGTTACGTGCAATTTTCGGGGAATCTGTATTACGCTGTATCCTCCTCCGTGTCATGCTGTGGCTGATGGTAGTAGTTATTGTTAGAAATGTACATATCAGTGTCGAGCTATACACCATTAATACGACATTCACCATATATATATATATATAGTTTACTCACGAATAATTTTGGTGTGTAGAAAATGGAACAATTAAAACAAAAAATGAATAATCAAGCCAAAGGCATGGAATACATTAAAATGTCTGACCTGGTAGAGAATCATGTCTATCGAATGGTTTCAATGAAAAATTTGACAACGAAAAATGGTGTTGTGGTGGTGGCACGGATACCCGACAACTGACAAGTTTTTGTCCCCAGAATACAGTTGACGGACGATGAAATTAAAACGTACAATGACGGCGACATCAAAATGTCACTGTGTTACAGAGGAAAAACAGAAAATGCTTATTCATTTGACTTTCAATAAAATTTTTTTTAATGTATTAACTTTACTTTTCTTTTACAATCAACAAAATCTTTTTATATGTTTTTTCTAATGATTCGTGTACAACAAATTAAATTGAATTAAAATTATATAGTTCGTTCACAATCTATTTGTGTTTACATTATTACTCCGATAGTATAGAACCTAATATTAGTATATGACAAATGTAAATTATACTGTAGATTAATATTATATGATTAATAGTTTTTCAAATTGGTGGAAAATGTAAAAACAAAAATCACAATAGCAATACTTAAGAGTAGATTTTAAGAAAAACAAAAACGTATGTATTGAAGTTAAATTTCTACACACCATTGATAATATAATCCGTTAACAGTCCAGTAGTGTTTACTCCAATAGTAAAAGTATATTGAACTGAATAGTTGATTAAAGAGGTGGCCATACACACGTATAACTAATGTATTAATTTTTCAATAGTTGTTATCATGTCGTTTGTATGCGGTTGTGGGTCTTCATTTGTCGATAGTACTGGTTTGAATGTTCATTGTAGTATGAATCAGGGTCACCGTCAAACTGTTATTTCAGGGAAACGATGTTTGTCCGCGCCTGCGGGTAGGGTGACCAAACGCGCGTGCATGCACGTTGCAGGGACCGGCTTTGTTCCGATAGAATCTGCACTACGCGGTCGAGTTATACATTATTTTTTGAAAAATGAAACGTCTATTGACGACATTGACGATTTTATTCGATGCGTGAGTGACGATTTAACCACCGTACTGAATGACGTTACCAAGCACGGTATAATAAAATTCAACGTTGTGCTGCACACAACGTACATACACCAAGTCATGGGTGAAATGAGAGACGTATCGTTTAAAACGCTTAACAAAACTGTCGATTCAGGTACCGTATATGCCGCCGTTTTTGATGGAATCACGGAGAAGCTCGTGTACGAACAACAGGAAATGGAGACCCGAGGTAGCGGGTGGTCGCTATTATTCATAGACGGACTGCTGTTGAGAGTCACGAAAATTTCACCATTTAGCGGTGGCTCGTACGTTGAAGTTCCACAGTGTATCAAACGAAAATTTGCGGTCATAAACGTAAGAAACGCCGACCAGCAGTGTTTTAAATGGGCGATTTTATGTAAGTACAACAAGAATAAAAAACATAGGGACCAATGGAATGCAGGTTACATTGATCTGGAAAAATCCACAAGTATACGTTTTGATGGCATTGACTTTCCTACACCATTGAAACAAATTATTCGATTTGAACGTAATAACCCGTCAATGTCGATCAATGTGTTTGCGTTGGACGATAAAAATAACGTGTATCCGTTGCGTATCACTAAATCGCGTACGAGCACCGATCATGTTGATTTACTTTACGTTACCGAGCCGGGAAACAGTCACTATTGTTATATATCAAATTTCTCGAGACTCGTGTCAAAACAACGAACCGAGGGCAAACGACACGAGTACTATTGTAAACGTTGTTTAAACGCATTTACCAATCAACCGTTAAAGACTCAACCAAGCGGTNACCAATCAACCGTTAAAGACTCAACCGAGCGGACAAGCGGGGGTGGATGAGCACATTAAAATGTGTGGAAAGTTCAAGGAAGCGCGAGCCGTCCTTCCCGCACCCGACTCCGACCAGTCGGTACTGCGGTTCAAAAACACAAGGCGAGAGGAGCCGGTTCCAGTGGTTGTGTACGCAGACATGGAGAGTTTGTTGGTTCGTGCCGAGCAACAAGTGTCCAAGTACTGTACGGTTACACAAGATCATCAGGCCATGAGCTACTGTTTCTATGTGGTACGCGATTCTAAGGTGTTGCCGAAAAATATTTGCGATGGACTACCAAACGAACCGGTACTGTACCGGGGACCGGATGCGGCCAAACACTTTATCACGACGTTGGTAACCATTGGTAAACGCATATCGGACATAATGAAGGTGAACATCGATATGACGGCACTGACACCGGAGGAACAACTACGTTTCGATACAACGAAAAATTGCAAGTTGTGTTCAATTAGGTTCACGGATAAAGTAAAAAAAGTCAAGGATCACAACCACTGGACGGCTCGGTTTCGTTCCGTTTTGTGTAACAAATGCAACCTGCAACGACGTCCACCGGCCTTTATGCCGGTCATCATACACGGTCTGTCCAACTACGACTCGCACATGATTATCCCAGAGTTGGCGTACGACGATAAAAACATATATATCATTGCACAGTCCGAAGAAAAGTACATCATGTTCAGCAAGACCATAGATGATTATTTTCGTATCCGGTTCATAGATTCTTACAGGTTTCTACAAGCCAGTTTATCTAAGCTGACCGCCACATTGTCGACACCGGATTTCGTGCATACACACAAAGTGTTTGAATCGCTGGAGTTGGTCACCCGAAAATCTGTTTTTCCGTACGAGTACGTCGACTGTTGGGAGAGGCTCGAAGAAACACGATTGCCGCCCCGTGACCAATTTTACAGCTCGATCACGCATCAGACGGTGTCCGAGGAAGACTACGAACACGGTAAAAAAATGTGGCAACACTTCAGTTGCTTTACTCTCGGTGATTACAGCGACAAGTATTTACTTGTTGACGTAATGGTATGTTTTTTTTTTTTATATAATTTATTTCCGAATCGCATGTAATAACTTTTGTTGTTTGATGTAGATACTGGCCGATGTGTTTGAAAAATTTCGGAAGGAAAGTCTGACAAATTATAAACTCGATCCCGCACATTATTTTTCGTGTCCGGCATTATCGTTCGACGCAATGTTGAAGTACACGGACGCATACATTGAACTATTGACGGACCCGGATATGTTGTTGATGTTCGAAATGGGTATACGCGGAGGTTTAACGCAAGTTAATCAGCGGTATGCTCGAGCAAACCACCCAGATGTCCCCGACTACAACCCCGACTTGCCTCACAAATACCTTCAGTATTTGGACGCTACTAATTTGTACGGGACAGGTATGTATATTTAATGTAATTTTATTTATATAAAAAAACTATTGTAATTTTCTATTCTTTTTTTACAGCCATGATGGAACCTATTCCGTTTGGATATTTTGAGTGGTCGACGGCAACGCTGGAAGAAGTACTGAACACCCCCGACGACGGTGATTACGGATACTTGGTGGAAATCGATGCACATTATCCTCGTGAATTGCACGATTTACACAATGATTTACCATTTTTTCCGGTAAACGAGCGATCACCGTTGTCGTCTTCGAAACACAGCAAGTTGATGACCACGTTACAACCAAAACGTGGTTATATCGTGCACTACCGCGCACTAAAACTAGCTGTGAAACACGGTGTGATCGTAACAAAACTGCATAAATGTATAAAATTTATGCAATCCCGCTGGTTGGCACAGTACATTCAGTTGAACACGGAATTGCGTAAAAAAGCGACCACCACGTTTGGACAAAACTGATGATCAACTCAAACTATGGTAGCATATAATTAATTTTCCAAACTTTAATTGTTTTTTTTTTAACTTATTTGTTTCGCGTTCAACAGGAAAAACATTGGAGAACGTACGGAAACACCAAAACATACAACTCGTGTGCAACCCGAAGAAACTGTCGAGGTTAGCGGCAAAACCGTCGTTTAGTCACACCACCGTATTCAACAAAAATCTGGTTGCCGTGCACATGTACAAGGAGAAGATTAATTTTTACAAACCCATTTTTATTGGACAGGCCATATTGGATATAAGTAAATGCATAATGTACAAGTTCCATTACGAGGTTATGATGCCGTTGTACGGACCCGAGCGACTCCTACTCTGTTACATGGACACCGATAGTTTCATTTATCTGATAACGACCAACTGTTTCCACGATGATTTGAAAAAGTACTTACTCGAATATTTCGACACGTCGAATTACCCGATCGAACACCCTTGTTACACCGATCGACGAAAAAAACAACCGGGCAAGTTTACCGATGAATGCAAGGGTAAGCATATGCAAGAAATTATCGCATTGTTACCCAAAGTGTACGCTTATTCAATCGCTATACAAAATTACTACGACAGGTTGTTGGTTACGTGGCAAACGGACGAGGTGAAGCGATTGAAAGGCATGAGCATGGGTGTGGTGAAACATGAAATCAAAATGGTTGACTATTTGAATTGCTTGCGTGGTAAACTCAAGCAAACCCGTAGGAAAATGTCCGTAATACGCACAAAACACCATAGTGTTTCGACGGTTGAAATTAATAAACTCGCGTTGGTCAACAACAACAACTACGATAAGCGGGCGTTAATCGGTGACGAAGGAGAGTACAAGGACGTGTATACAAAAGCGTGGGGGCATTATTCTCTAGTCGATGACGACGACGAAAAAACAAATTAAACTCAAAGTGTACATTAGTTTTATTTAATAAAATAAATCGATACATTTTTTGTAATTTTGTAACCAATTTTTTTTTTTTATAAAAATATGTAAATAAAACAATTACGAATTATCCGTTAACCATTGTTTCAAACACATTGCTTTATACAAGCTACACATTTCATGATTATTTATGTGACGAATACAACGTGGTTGGAATTCCACACATAATTTTCGCAGTGGTGGACAGTTTTCTTCTATTTCGACTACCCTCTGTCCGGGTAAATATTTTTGTAAAACTTGTTTTTTCTGCACGCCTTTCACGTAGATAGTATCGCACCGTACCAACGACATTATTCTCGGTATTTCAGTGTATTCCACGTTACCAATGTTCGTGTCCAAGCCGTGATGGTACTTTTTTAGCCAGTAAGTGGTTTTCACATCGTCCTTGATGATGTTTGGGTGTTTGAACACCCAATGGGCCATAGACATGGACTCCAGGTCTATGACGGTCATTTCTTTTACCAAGAACGAATGGTCGGCGGCAGCCACCAGGCCCTGAATGTCGACAATCATTGCCGTGAAATCTGCTTTCGATATCCATGAGTTGTGTTCCGGGCCAAAACCCAACCACTTAACGTAGCACTGGTCTCCGCGTGTGCGTAACACCCGTTCCACTAAATACGTGTCCGGATACTGGGTCCTGCTCAACTCTTCGGTGTAAAATACACCCTGAATGGGGTTCCTCTGGTAATCTTCCAGATAATATGTTGGCGGTACTGTTCGTTTGACCTTGGTCACTGTGAACAACTCGGTGCTCCAGTTGGGCAAATAGCCCTTGTCAAACACGGATTTCGTTTTGCTTATTCTCACTTTGTCGCCCACTCGAAACTTAATCGGTAAATTATCGGGTATTTTTCGTAATTTAATGCGTACTGCACTGGGATTCCCAACAGCTTGTGCGGGTGTCATGCCGATTGTTCTGTGCACGTGATTGTTATTGTAATCGTAGACCAGTGCAGGCAACCTGACTACCCATTTGTACGACCCACGCGTAGTGAAATCACGCCACATGACCGTCTTCAGTGTGCGATTGAAGCTTTCATCGTGGTAAATGTTCAATAATGACGGATCCCGTAACGGTCCATCAACGCTTGGAAATGTCGGTTGTAGAACTCTGTACCACGGTCGGTTTGCATCAGCTTTGGATGACGACCCTGTTCGAGAATACCCGACATTGCTGTGGTCACGTTCAGGGCCATTTTACTCTTTAACGGTACGGCCCAAGCCCGCCCTGAAGTAATACCTCACGGTAGTTCCAGGGCGGTCCACAGTTGCGCCGGTCGGAGTAAAAAAAAAAAAAAAAAAAAAAAAGGTACGGCCCAAGCGTACTTGGAAAACCCGTCCACGCACGTTAAAATGTATCGGTGACCACGATCTGCGTACGCGCCCATTTCTACAAGATCCGCGTGCCATATATCATCGAGTCCTTTGATGTTTACCCGTGTTCGAGTGTACGTTCTCCGGGCCGGTCGATGTAGTTCGTACGCAATTTTAGGTTTCATAATGTAGACGGTATGTCGGCAATGTACCCGGCTTCGTAAAGTTCTTCTAGTATGGAAACAATCTCGGGTGACACTCCAGTGTTGCCAGCCGACTGAGCCGATATGAGCAGCTTCAGTCGTTCAACAAGTTCATTGGGATCGTCCCAGTATAAGTAATCTTTTTTTCACCGACTCTCAGCTGTAGTCCCGATCCTATGCTGCTGAACATTGGTTCGATAACTTCATTGTATTTAACACCTCCCTTTTTCAATGCCATATTTTTGTTTAGATGAGCTCCGGTTTCCTCCAATATTGTTTTGTACTTTTCCAAATGTTCGTCGTTGAACGCAACGGGGTTTTTCGAAAACAACAAATTCACTAGTCCAATCGTCAATTGGTGTTTTGTTCCATTTACACGAATAGAGTCACTGTCTACGGTTATATCGTTTGCATTACCCATGCTTAGTTTACCGTCCATATGCATTCTAGGACCGTATTGTTTATCTCTCAACGGATTTTTTGTCCACTGTTCTATAAGATGTGCAAAATATAACTTTGAATAGTCATTTTCTTGCGATTGTTTCTGATGATGCTGCTGCTGCTGCTGCACATTAATAACATTGGATATCCTATTCAATGGTTCTATTATTGGTGCTAGTTTTTTCTGAATGTGAGTCAACGACTCTGACTCACCACGACGCAATTCTGCATATTTTCGTCTGACGTTGTCCCGGGCTTTGTCCAACAGTTTCTTCGAAGATTCCTTATCGGCAGTGTTCATATTGTAATTTACGTATCAAAACTGTGTCGATCACTATCGCGATCAAAATCCGTACATATCACTGCGAACCCGTATTTATCGTTTTTCCAACACTGATTGCAAAACTCTTTGAACTCATTAAATTTCATATCACAACACACGTACTCGTCGTATGCATGACGTAGGTAGATTTCGTCTTGTCGGAACAACACCACCACATTCGCATTGTCTCGTAACATTTGTTTTTGTATACGAGACAATGTTTGCGAGAGAAAAAACACATCAACTCTTTTGTGTCGGCCACGCGCAAAATAATCGCACATTACGTTTTGTTTTTCCATAACCACGTCGTCGAAAATAAACACTGAATTTGGCAGAACAGTGTCCACTGGTGGAACTTCATCACCGTTCGCAAATGTGAACACACGTATCCCTTCAACATCTTCCAATACTCGAATCAACAGTTGATATTTCGACTGCTCCAACGATTTCGAGTAGATGTAAACGTTTTCGAATTTCAATCCGTTCAAGTCGGTCAACAGCGCGAACATTAAATTGGTTTTACCACAGTTTGACGGACCACAAATCATAACAACGTACACTGTTTGGTAATAACTTCCCGTGTTTACTGTGTTGTACATTGGTGGTGACATGATCGTCAAAATTGACCACGGGTAGAGTTTCTGTCTGTTTTTCAAAACGGCATCGCACGTCGTCATTTACCCATCATTTTCTGTGTATTATTATTATTATTATAATGAAAAACTTTATTGTTGCTCGTAACGTATTGATCTCGATTACGTAGGGCTATCAACAGATAGCGTTATTTTTTCATGACAATTACGATATTATATATATATATATATATATATATATATAATATTGTAAGGATGAACTAGGACGTTAGAAGTACAATGAAATCGCTACAACGACGTCGACATCGAAAACGGGGATCCGGTATTGTCTATTCAGCTATAAACAATATTCCTTTGGAAGCCCACGTGCCCGGTTACCAGTTTGCCGGTCCTGGAACTAAATTACAGAAACGTTTAGCACGTGGAGACCGTGGTATAAATCCATTGGACGCAGCATGCCGTGAACACGATATCGCGTATTCCAAAAGTAATTCTCTCGGGGATCGGCATCGAGCCGATGAAATTCTAGAACACCATGCGTGGGATCGAGTGCGTTCAAAGGACGCAAAATTATCAGAACGTGCAGTGGCTTGGGGTGTGACAAATGCGATGAAGTTGAAACGCAAACTCGGTATGGGATTAAAAAAAAAAAAAA